AAGAGCGTCTATATTAGACAGTAGTGATCCTTCTTAAACCAGACCAGAAGCAGAGAAAGGCCAGGGCTGAGCTGTGGTTAAAATGTGATCCTCTTCAGCATACGCTGCCAGGCTCACCCATCTTTCAAGCGTGTTGCTGGACTCTCATATAGGCAGTTATATACTCTGTTTTGGAGAGCGGTTTTTATTATACTCTAGGAACGGCTGCTGTGCTCTGTGCTTTGGCCGCTGGTGCATCCGTACTGTTTACTAACAATACCGTTGGCAGCAAACCCATGCTTTTACTGTGCGGCTTCCTCGGGAGATGTTATCTTGAGGTTGTTTCAGCTTCTTCCTTTGTGGTGTTGTCTGAAACTCCCAGCTTTCCGGCAGGAGAGGGTGCACGGAGTGCCAGCAACCAGCAGTGAATGTGTGTTGAACACCCTGAGAGTCAGACCGTGGTGGTATTTAGCAAGCACATACCCTTTAAGGAGAGGGCGAGTTGCTTAAAATCCCTTAGCCACAGACAGTGGTCGTGCCCTCGCTGGCACACTGTGTTCCTTTCCTTGCCTGCAGCATGCTAAGACGCTGTGTGTCAGCGTGCATCTCTGGGCAAGGTTCCTCTTGCGTGCGTTTATAATGTCGAGTCTCCTGGGAAAAGCGGACAGCCCTTGTGCCGAGCCCCCAGTAACAGCTCTCCTCTGTCTCTCTTTGATTTGCAGAACAATCAAGTTCTTGGGATCGGAAGCGGTTCTACGATTGTCCATGCGGTGCATCGATTAGGTAGGGTGCTCCCCTTCGTGTCCCTCCCACCGCAGAAAGTCCCCATGTCCAGCTGTCCCAACTACTCGAAAAACATGCTAAATTGCCTGGATGCTGACTTAGAGCTGATGTGTCGGGTCTGGTCACCAACTGCTGTGTCCTTTTTGAAGCTGAAGGTTAAAACCGGGTCTTGTGCTCCGAATTTGTTGCATAGAGAGTCCTGAGGAAGTAGTGATTTGCCGCTTGTTCTCCCCATACAGCCAGGCAAAGCGCTTTACTGGCACCCACCACAAACTGGAGCTAAACCCCTCTGTTTCCTTCCAGCTCTGCCCTGTCCTAACTTGCTTTGTGGCTTTGGGCCATG